TGTACTGGGTGGGTGAGACGCGGTCAGCAAGGGCTGTGCTGCGTGGTGGCGGACGCATGCGAGCGGTGCCACCGGGACCTTCGGTGGAGCTCCCTATGGGGCCACGAAACGCTGTACTGGGTGGGTGAACGCAGGCAGGGAGCAAGGGCTGTGCAGGGTGGTGGCGGACGCATGCGGGCGGTGCCGCTGGGACCTTTGGTGGAGCTCCCTATAGGGCTACGAAGCGCTGTTCTGGGTGGGTGAAGCGCAGGGAACAAGGGCTGTGCTGGGTGGTGGCGGACGCAAGCGGGCAGTGCCACTGGGACCTTTGGTGGAGCCCCCTATGGGGCCACGAAACGTGCGAGGGGTGTGCCAGAATGGGGTGTGGAACCGCATGCCAGCGCAGCCACTGGGGCCTTCGGTGGAGCTCCCTATGGAGCCACGAAACGTGTGAGGGGTGTGCCGAAATGGGGGTGGAACCGCATGCGAGCGCAGCCACTGCGGCGTTCGGTGGAGCTCCCTATGGGGCCACGAGACGTGTGAAGGGCGTGCCGAAAAAGGGGGTGGAACCGCATGCGAGCGCAGCCACTGGGGCCTTCGGTGGAGCTCTCTATGGGGCCACGAACCGTGTGAGGGGTGTGCCGAAATGGGGGGGGGAGCCACATGCGAGCGCAGCCACTGGGGCCTTCGGTGGAGCTCCCTATGGGGCCACGAAACGTGTGAGGGGTGTGCCAGAATGGGGGGTGGAACCGCATGCGGGCGCAGCCACTGGGGCCTTCGGTGGAGCTCCCTATGGGGCCACGAAACGTGTGAGGGGTGTGCCAGAATGGGGGGTGGAACCGCATGCGGGCGCAGCCACTGGGGCCTTCGGTGGAGCTCCCTATGGGGCCACGAAACGTGTGAGGGGTGTGCCAGAATGGGGGGTGGAACCGCATGCGGGCGCAGCCACTGGGGCCTTCGGTGGAGCTCCCTATGGGGCCACGAAACGTGTGAGGGGTGTGCTCCGCATGCTAGCCACTGGGGCCTTCGGTGGAGCTCCCTATGGGGCCACGAAACGTGTGAGGGGTGTGCCAGAATGGGGGGTGGAACCGCATGCGGGCGCAGCCACTGGGGCCTTCGGTGGAGCTCCCTATGGGGCCACGAAACGTGTGAGGGGTGTGCCAGAATGGGGGGTGGAACCGCATGCGGGCGCAGCCACTGGGGCCTTCGGTGGAGCTCCCTATGGGGCCACGAAACGTGTGAGGGGTGTGCCAGAATGGGGGGTGGAACCGCATGCGGGCGCAGCCACTGGGGCCTTCGGTGGAGCTCCCTATGGGGCCACGAAACGTGTGAGGGGTGTGCCAGAATGGGGGGTGGAACCGCATGCGGGCGCAGCCACTGGGGCCTTCGGTGGAGCTCCCTATGGGGCCACGAAACGTGTGAGGGGTGTGCCAGAATGGGGGGTGGAACCGCATGCGGGCGCAGCCACTGGGGCCTTCGGTGGAGCTCCCTATGGGGCCACGAAACGTGTGAGGGGTGTGCCAGAATGGGGGGTGGAACCGCATGCGGGCGCAGCCACTGGGGCCTTCGGTGGAGCTCCCTATGGGGCCACGAAACGTGTGAGGGGTGTGCCAGAATGGGGGGGAACCGCATGCGCGCATGCGGGCACTGGGGCCTTCGGTGGAGCTCCCTATGGGGCCACGAAACGTGTGAGGGGTGTGCCAGAATGGGGGGTGGAACCGCATGCGGGCGCAGCCACTGGGGCCTTCGGTGGAGCTCCCTATGGGGCCACGAAACGTGTGAGGGGTGTGCCAGAATGGGGGTGGAACCGCATGCGGGCGCAGCCACTGGGGCCTTCGGTGGAGCTCCCTATGGGGCCACGAAACGTGTGAGGGGTGTGCCAGAATGGGTGGGGAGGGGGAGGAGGGGGGAGGAGGGGAGGAGGAGGAAGGAGGAGGAGGAGGAAGGAACGCGGGGCGACGTCTCTTCAAAACGAGGACCCAACACCACAGGATGGTTGGGAAAAACATACAAAGTACACGTTGGGGCAAAGTCTGAAGTCATGTTCGTGAGGCCCACGAGCACGTTGTTTTGTCTTTCGACAGGGGTGGCGGGAGTATCAGCATCTTGCCTGCTGCGCGCAGGGCTACCATCCCTGACAAAGAAAAGACAATACAATGCACCTCGCGACTATAAATCTAGACCATGCGCGGCCACCCCGCGATCACTGTCAAGTGGTTGCGTATGGCCTGCTGTGCGCAGGCCCAGACACAATGATGGGCATGGGGCTTTTGGTATGGATGGTGGGGGCCGGCATGCTTCCCGATGTGTGCTGTCCCGTGCGCAGGCGCACCTGCCACACTCTGCACGTGCCCCGAATGTGGCGCACCTGGCACGGCTGGAGTATGGGGCACGCCTGGTGCACGCAGAGGAACGTGGCGCATCTGGCGCACCAGGCGTGCCTGGTACGCTCGGGCCCCAGGGGTGCCTGGCGCGCGTGGCGCGCGCGCACCTCGCCCCAGCGTCGCGCACATGGGCTCAA